CATATACGAGAAGGATTGACACAGACCAAAGGGTCTTGTGGGAAATATGATAATAACTATAAAGAAGACAGATTATTCCCCAGTTGCCAACATTCAAACCTTTTTACAGTCAGTTCAAACATATAAAACTTTATTGCTGTAGCAGAAAGGGGAACAATTTCTGGTTGCACAGCTTTCCCAGGGCTGGGTTTATACTGTCTGTGTTATTGCTCTATAGTGGCATTTTAAAGTTTATTGAACAAGACTTTTACAATTGAAGGAAGTATATAAAACTGTAAATTTATTAGATTTTTCAGGATAAGTGCCCTTTCTAGTTGTGCTCAAGAATTCGGAGCTACGAGAAACTGCTAGTTACAAGACTTATTAATATTAAAGACTGAGAGAGCGTGCATTTTATACCTTAACTGATCTAAAAAATAATATTATGATATTACTGAAAATCTGAGCTGTCACTGAATAGGGTGTGTAAAGTGTTTGTATAGTTTGTGTGCGTATAAGTAGTCCATATCTATGTGCAGATAACGTGTATATGTACGTGTCTGGGTATGTCTTTGCAGGGGTGTGTGCACATACAATATGTGAACAGACAAGCATGTGTGTTTGGGCATATATGTATATATAAATCTGTGTGCTCCTGTGTAATATTTTATTTTTATATGGATTTTTTTTCCTATATTGTGCAGTGCTTTCTAGTATGGAGTCTTAGTGCACATGTAAGGCTTTTAGGTGATGTGGAAATACAATTAATGGGGTGTCTGGGTGGATGTGATGGTTATATCATGCTTGATTGTGTGTGGTGTTCACGGGCATCTCATTTTAACTCATGTATGAAGACCTCCAGTATCTAAACTATACAATTTATACCGTGTTCACCATTCACCTGATAGTTTGTGCCTAAACCCAGTGAGCCACGTGAGTGATGGTGGGATGGCGCTTTCCAAAGGGCTGTGTGCCTGCCCCCACCCTCTGCTTTTTCCTTTGGGCTGTGGCCAAGTAACACTGATCATAAATTTGCTGGGACCAGATTCTCTGGTTGGCACGTTTGCTCTGGGCTGCTTATGCAGCAAAACGAGGCTGCAGTGCTACTGGAGACAGCCCTTGGAGATCTCATCCTGCATACAATCTGGGGAGAAACCTGCTCTTGAGGGGTCCCTGCCATAGGTTTTCTTTTTCCAGCTTGAGAATGATTTCACCTAAATGTGTGACTTGAATTAAAATAACTCATAAATCTGTTCTTCTGCCTGCTGTGTGTAGACCATTGCCTGCCTACCACAGTGGCTGGTGCTGCTGGGAGGCTTGGGGGACATCTGAGAGGGTTTTGTTCTGTGCTGGCACGTCTACCGGGTCAGAGGCTCTCCTGAAGGACCTCTCACCACGGCTAGTGGCCAGGAATACATCCTCCAGCTCAGGAGGAGAGCCTTTCTCCACCACTCTGCTCTGCTGGTCCAGCAGAGACACAGAAGCAGATGCCTTCAACTCTGGCATCTGTGATGGCAACTTGCAAGGGACAGCGGGTGCTTTGGAGGCTGAGCAGGAGCAGGCAGGAGCACCACAAACAGGCAGTGAAGGCAAGGAAGTCAATAAGCCCTGAATCTTTTATGAGACTTTGGATATTCTGATCACAGCTCTGCTTGCACCGAGATAGGAATACAGATTATCTGAGAAAGCGTCTGTGACTTGAAGCTCAGTCCTGGGTCTTCCTAAGGTTTTTTAGCTTGCCTCTCCATATTAACATTTTGCTGTTGGTTTTTAGGGGGGCTCCCTTTTTTTCCCCCTGCTTTTTTCCTACAGAAGGGGATGGAGCTCTCAGGTGCAATTTCTGGGAGCCAGGGCTGGCTGGAGAAGAAGGTGGGAAGAATGTTAGTGCAGCTAATGGGGCTAATAGCTTTATCCCTGCATATTGTTAACAACAAAACCAAGCTGCAACACTGCACGCCATGAGTCGAAAGAAAAGGAAAGCCCTCGGATCCCTTGTAATCCTGCCTTGCGCAGCACAACGGTGCTGGAATTGCAAGGGTTCTAACTGAATTCATTTTGGGTTTGGAGAGAAAAGGAGAAACTAGGAAAAGAAGGAGGATAGGGAGGAAAAAAAAGGGGGGGGGGGGAAGAAAAAAAAGACCCCTGCACCGAGATGAATTTATGCCTGAGCTTGTCTTGGGAATGCAAATGTGTTTAAGACTCTCTGAGCTAAACCACCCCTTTTGGAAAGAAGGAGGGGGGAAAATGGGGGAGAAAAAAAAAAGTATGACACAGAAGGGACACCAGGAGAATGTGAAATGAGGGTTTGCTGCCCCTCCTCCTGCGCCCTGCCTGCTGCTGAGCTGGCACACGGGCAAGCAGCAAGGAAATGCTGGGATGCTCCATAGAGGGGCGACCCATGCGCCTGGGCGCCGTGCTCTCTGATGGGGACCCATTGCTCTGCCTCCATTCACTGTGGCCTTGTGCTTGCTCCCCACCATGCCAGTGTGGCCATAAGCACATCGGGTGTGACTTGGCCAGATTCATGGCACTACCAAGTGCTCATTTTCTGCCTGCAGACATAAAGAGGATGCTGCCTGCCTGCCTCTCTTCAGCCCCGTGGGGACTGGGCAGGGCTCTCCCAGCACTGCAGGGATGCTCACACAGGGGTCTACAGAGTTGAGAGGAGGAGGACAGCAGGGAGAGGAGAAAACTGGCTTCGAGCAGGAGGGAGGAGGGATGCAGGAGGAGATGTGAACCCACTGCCAATTGGGCAGTTGTGTCTGTTGTCTGGAGGCTGCTGCTAACCACTCGTTACAATTAAAATGAAGTGTCCGTCAGCGGCTATCTTCGCTGTGTGGCCCATATGTTTCTGAGCTGATACTGTCCGGATTATTCTGTTTGGGAGAACGATAACGGCTGTTTATAACCTTGGCAAAGACTGAGCCCTAATCAGGCTGGAGCACATTTTCACCGACTGGCTGATAACGGGCTGTTAGCTGCCTTATCGCTGGGGAGAGATAGGCCAAAATAAGCAGATCTGTGAGCACAGGAGCCCAACCAAAAGGCGTATACTATGGCCTGGCCTTTATTTTTAGATGCTCTTTTCTCTTCTTCTTTCTCTTTTTTTTTTTTTTTTTTCTTCTTCTCCCTCCCCCCCTTTTCCTGGCTGATTTCAGAGAAAAAGGGGGATTATTTCAGAAGAAGGGGAGGGAGGGAGCTGGCAGGTTTTGTTCCCATCTGTAAGTGGGGTAGCAAGAAGGGCGTGCAAAAACAGTGCAGGGGTGTTGCATTGCTTTCCATGTGCCCCTCAATTTACCCCATGGCCCCACCCTACACCTCTGAGGGTATTTCCATCTTTGGGAAGAAGAGTTTGAAAGTATGTCTGTCCTCCGTCACAGCATCCTTCCTTCTCTTGCTTTCTGCTCACTTCATCCTCTTTTCTCTGGGGCTGGCTCCCCAAAAAAGGGTGATGGGCTAGTTTTGGGGTGGAATTAGTTTTGTGTAGAGGAAAGACATTTTGAAAGAGGGCATTTCCTCTTGAGTTTTCTCCAAAAAATGGGGTTACATGAAAATATGATGTGTGGCAGCGAGACCTGAGTATTCCTGCTGCAGACACCATGTTTGGGCCAGAACATCTTGAAATTACGTGCAGTTGGATACCTAATGAGCCCAATTTACCCAATGTGGCCCCTCAATGTGGGTGGCTAGAGCATCTTCCCAGTGCTCATTGGTACTCAGCTATTCCCAGCAGCTGTGTTAACCTGGTGCTGTGCAGGTGTGTGATCCCTGCCATGCCACCCTCTTTGTCAGCGTAGCCACAGTCTTGCTCCATTGCGCTTGTGTCTCTGCTCTCGAATCTTCCAGTGGAAACGGTCCAGAACTCCCGGTGCCGCTCCTCCCTCCCTCCCTCCGCTGCTCAGGCTCTGTACTCTGCCTTGAAGTCTCAGGCAGGTGTTCAAATAAATAATGCAGCTAAAAATACCTTTTGGCAGCAGCTGGGAGTTGTTTCGAGCGGCACTGCCGGAGTGGTGGGAATACAGCATCCCGGCTCTGCGGGCAGGTGCGTCTGCATGCTCTGGAAAAGTGAGAGCAAGCACTGTGGGGACGAGGATCTGTCTGCCTTCTGGGTCCACCATGGCCCCACTGACAAACCAGAGCAATGATTCTGTCCTCCCTGGCTTTGAAGCAGGCCTTGTTTTGCCGAAGTTGGCTTTCAGTGGAAGGATGCAGCCAGCTGCATCCTATCTAGTGGAGAAGTGTCATGGTTGCCCTCCACTCCAGCTGCATCAGCAGGCATTAGGAAACAAGTGTTTGCGCTGTGGTAGCATCTCAAGCCATTTCCCCTTGGAAAATGGTTTGCAGGCTGGACTGTGCAGCTGCCTTGGGCAAAGGATGCTGAGCTCTTTCCAGCCATCTTCAGATACTGCAAGAGTAGTCGGCATCTCAGGCTTTTGGTCCAGTTCACTGGGAGTGGCAGTTTTAAAATCTCCCCAAAAATCCCTCTGCTGGCTGCCCTTTCCTGGGGAGACATCCCAGCTGAAGGTAATTTCTGGTGGCTTTGTCTCCTCCCTTTACCCACCTGGACCTGGACCTGGCAGCCTGGATCCCAGTGGGTACAGCAGGCTCCATTTCCACTAGCGCTTGTCTCCTGGCTCTTCTTGGAGACCTTTTGAGAACTCCTCTGGCAGCAAATAGTTGTACGACAGCTTTAATTATTACAACAGGAACATTGCTGAGGGCAGTTGGCCACAAATAAAACTGACCTTGGTTTTCCCCTTACCCGGCTGATAGCAAACCCTTTGCTGCAGGTCAGAGCTGCTCCCACTCCAATGCACAGAGGAGGAGGGATGCTAGCCTGCTTTTCTCTGGTGCCCATCCATTTTGGGGGAATGCTGGTCACTTTCTGTATCAGCCGTGGACTTTTGGTGGGTTGTCCTTGTGTACCTCAGCTTGGAGAACAAAATGTTGTGTTAATGAGCCACAAAACACCCTTGCCAGAGTGCAAAGATAGGGGTTGGGTAAGCTACATGCTTCTCAAGAGGCTGAGACCTCGTCCTGCTCGTAGTGCTGGCAGTAGTCTGTCAGCCCTAAAGTACTGGCTGCCCTTGCTTCGCCCTCCTCTCTAGGAGCAGGGTAAGGTGCTGGTGGGGCTGACATAGTGGCTGAGGGTCACCCATGGTCTCAGTGATGCCTGGGTGATTCTTGAGTCCGGCAATGCCCCTGCCTCATTGTGGTTTTGGCCATAGCTCCTTTTAAGGCTCGAACAGATGAAGCCAAATGGTGTGCTGGAAAACATTCCTGACTCCAAGGGAGATGCTGTCTAGGAACTGCTGTCTGCCTTTACATGCATTTTGGGTGTATTTGGCCTGTTCTGACAGCAGAAGTGCAAGCACAGTGCACAATCGGCTAGGGGCTGGACAGCTTTTTGAGTGAAAATGTGTTTCAGCAGTTGTGTGGTGGTCCAGCTGTGGTGCAGTGGCCTAGTGCCTGCCCCGACAAGAGCAACCGCAGTGACTTATCTCAGTCCCCAGGGCTGGGCCTTTTGCTGTGGCTCAACAGCCTGCTGCCGGCCCGTGAAATGCAATCAGAGCTATGCGGATGCCACGAGCCAGGGCAAACTGACTCTTCCCATCTCATCCCACAGAGAACAAACAGAGCTCAAGGTAAAGCACTGAAATTTCACCGTGACCTTTTCTTAAAGCATTATAATCAAGTTGAACGTTTCCAGTTGTCCCACTAATGTTTGCCCCATGGGAGAAGGCGTCCTGCTTTGAGGGAGGATGTTTGTGGCAATGAGCGCGCCTGCCCTGGGAGCTCGTGGTGCTGGATGCCAAATGCCTGCTGGGGGACAGGGAGGCGGGGGGCAGAGGGCTGGGGCTGCTCCCTGCCTCCCGCTGTCATGCAGCCAGGGGAGGGAATCTGCTGAACACTCTGCATCTGCTACAGCCTTTGCTCAGGGCTCTTCAACACATAGATTGTAAAACACACATCGCCTGGCGTGTTGCTGGGCACTCGTAAGGCCTCCCCGGTGTGATTTCAAGGTATTGCTTTCGTGGTGGGTTTGGCAGCTCCTGCCTGGGGGCAGATTGGGGTTGGCTTGAGGGAACCTGGGGCTGGAGCTGGAAGGGCTTGATCCAAGTATGTGCAGAGATGTGGAGGCAGAGAGAGCCTTCAAAGTTCACCCTGGACATAGAGGAAGCCTTCCTGGGCAGTATCCTGGGTTCAGCAGTAGCAGTCATTTTTCTCCTTCTTGGTACCTGGTGCAGTGCTGTGTTTTGACTTTCAACTGGGAACAGAGCTGATAACAATGAGGTTTTGGTTTGGCCAAGGACTTTGTGAGCCTCATGCTCTGCCAGGGAGGAGGGAAGCCGGGAGGAAGCAGAGACAGGACACCTGACCCAAACTGACCAAAGAGGTATTCCATACCACAGCACGTCATGCCCTGGAGGTAATTGGGGAGTGACCCGGAAGGGGCTAGAGTGGACTGCAGGGTTGGAGGAGGTATCGGTCGGTGCTTGGTCCGGCTGGGTCGTGTGAGTTATCAGTCTCCGGGTGGTGAAGTGCTGTATTCTCTTCCCTTGTTATTTCCTTTATCATTGTTATTATAGGTGGTAGCAGTAGTGATTTGTGTTATACCTTAGTTACTAAACTGTTCTTATCTCAACCCATGGGAGTTGCATTCTTTTCGAATCTCCTCTCTGTCCCTCCGGGAGTAGGGGGAAGGCAAGAATGGGGGGGGGAGTGAGTGAACGAGCTGGCTGGCTGGGTTTAAACCACTACATACTACTGAAGGATGAGCTGTGATTATGCTACTGCATAAACCTGACTTTCTCATGTGGTCATATCCTTTTAAGCTGGTGTCTTGTCATGTTGGGTCTGAAGGCATGGTGTTCAGCTTTCTGCATGCAGGAACATCTCACTTCAGCTTGGAACAGGCAGTTGCCCATCCTGTGTCCCCTGATCCCTGTGGCTTGCATGGCAGAGACCAGCGTTTAATTATGTGTCCCTTAACCAGCAGTGGAGTTGGTGACCCTGTATTCCCAGTGATAAAGGGGACAAGGCCCACTTGGTGATCTGCTGTGTCTCCCAGAGCCATGCAAGAGGGGTGACCCAGATGCTTTATGGAGGTTGCACATCTAAGCACAGCTCTGTGTTTCCTGCAGGCTTGGGAAGGTGCGCCAGCTCACAGTGGGAAGGGAAGATGGTTTTGCAGACCCTTCCCCAGCCATGACACTCTCACTGAGTTTGGCTCAAAACGCCCATGACCTTCAGGCTTGCTTTTTTTGGTCACTACCAGATTTTTGAAAGATGTTTAAGAGGTGAAAGGTGAGATACTCCTGTGTGTGTGAGCGGGGGTTGTGGGAGCAGCAGTGGTGGCACAGGAGCTGTTGGAGCTATCCACGCACGCATGTGCAGGGATGCAAACAGCCCTTTGCTGGACGCTTGCTTCAGCCTCACCAGCCCTGTCAGCTTGCAGCTGCCTCCCATAGCAGCTGGGTGCCCATGGCTGCATCCATGCATGGGGTGAGCCCTTCTCCCTGCTGTGCCAGGCCCGTCCACGCCTTCTGTACCCCAGAATACCTGCCTTTGTCCTGCAAAGGGAGGGTCCCCTCTGGCTGTGTGCACATGCTGGCACCGCTGACATTTAGCTTGCACTGGCTTACAACGATGCATATGTATGAGGAGCAGGCGGGAGGGTGACAGGGGCTGGCTGGCCCTGGTCCCACGACCTCTGCAGATATGGAGCTGCTGCTTTGTGGCTCTAGAGGGTTTTGTTTTATATTTGAAATTTCTGTTTGAACCCTTCTAACAATCCCAATTCAGTTTTGGTCTGGAAGGCTGGATAGCTGGGTGGGCTGCTGCTGCTTCCCAAGGGTTCCTCCAGGTAGCAGCTCTGTTTACATAAGGCATTGGATGCAGCTGTAATGTTCACAGCATGGATCTGTTTTAAGCTCAGAAAATTGAGTTCACCACATTGCTGAACCAGCTGCTAACATGACAGCATGAAATGTCGTTGGGTACTGTGGTCTGGGTGATGCCTGGAACCTTTGGAGAAGCATATCTTGTCTGTATTGGTCCTAAATGTGACACAGCTTTGATGCTAGTGTAGTGAAACTGGGTACCTGCCTGCTGGAGGTTTTCACAGTAGCACCTACTGGGTGATCTTGCTTTATCCCTCTTCCATACATACCCAGAGTGTCTGAAGACATGATCATGCCCTACTTGTTTTCTGCCTGAGGGTGGATGGTGCTTGCTGATGACCTGCCCTCCAACACAGTGCTGCTGCCTGCTGCTGCAGCTGCCTTCTTGAGGAGGGTCCAGCCTGGCTTTCAGGAGCAGGTACCTGTGCATCCTGGGGCTGTACTGTGGGCCAGAGCTACGTCGGAAAGCTGCTGCCACGTGGACATGGTCCAAGTGGTGATGTACCTTCCTGCGCTCAGATATGTTCATCCCATGGAAGGGTGGGATGGTTGGGAGACCAAAGCACAGGACTGCTAAGGAGCACAGAATTAAAAGTGGTGGCCTCCTGGAGAGCTCATGGCAGGGCAGAGGTGAAGTATGGCCTGGAGAGCCCTGTGACTCAGGCAGGCAGGCAGTGCAGGCAGGTGTTGTCTGTGAATGTGTCTGCCTGGACTGCATCTCATTCCCAGGCATTAACTGTTTGCTGATGGAATGGAATTACCTCCCAGGCCAGCACACAAGTGCTCCCTCCCCACCTCACTGCCCACCCTCATGTCCCCCTCTCTGGCACTGCCTCTGGGTGTCCCTTTTCTCTCCTGGCTGGGCAGGGGACACTGCTCCCTCTTCCTGGGAAGGTCTCCCTTGCACAAAATGGCTCCCTCCGACTCCCCCTGCTTCCCCTTCCTCCCCTACCCCAAAACTTTCTTGCTCTAGGGTTCACTGCAGAGCTGTCCTCTGTCTCAGTTGTTCCCAGCTGTCAGAGGTTATATATATCTGCTCTGCTCATGCTCATCCTCTGTAACCATTTTCTGCTACAGAATCTTCTGGCTGCTCGTTGAAGCCTTAATCCGTAATGCAGCGATCAATGGGTGTGCGCCTTTACCACTCGGATGCTCATTTTTTAATCCCCACTGCCTCCTTCAATGTCATCCCTTCCCATTTTTCTTTATAGAATTTCAGGTCTACTGTACCTGCTGATTACTTAGTGGAGACCACTGGACATCTCCCTTAATTAATTCCATCGATTTCTCAAATCCCACAAGGTTTGGGGTCCTTAGATTTCTGAAGCAGCTAAATGGAATGTCTAAATTCCGACATTTTCCCTCTATAAATTGTTTTGCCAGGGAGACAATGAGAGGCAGCACTCCAGCTTTATTTGTTTGGAGGTGATGTTAGCCCTGGAGCCTTCCCCGTCCTTGTTTTGGGCGCAGAGGAGGACGCTGGGAGGGGTGTGCTGCTGGCCCTCATCACCTGGCCATGCCCTCCATCTCAGGGATGCTCTTGAAGACCCCTGGTCCTCCACTGCCATCCATCCTGGGAGTAGCATTCTCCTGGCAAGGAAGCAGGGTGGAACCAGCCTTGGGAAGAAAATAAAGCTCCTGGAAAGGACCTATTTACCAGTTGGGCCTTCGCTGCGTGCGGCTGGGGAAGACTCTGTTGCTATGCGCAGGGAGCTTAATTTTATTATTACTCTCTGCTATTTAATGTCTGTCTCTCAGGCAGCTGGTGATGTTTTAATGAAGCTGGAATTGCGTAGTCTGTAGTGCTGGATAATCGTAAGCTGCCGAGTCAGAATCAAATTAATAATTCATGAAATTAAAGTGTATAATTAATTCGAACTGTGCAGATGAGGAGGGGCATGAGTCTTAGGCCTAAAAGGAGTGCACACATGTCTGTGAAACGTGTGTGTTCATGTCGACCTGCATTGCAGGGCACATCCGTATTGGGTCCCTGGCAAGGCTGGGCAGATCTGCCTCCCAGCTGCAGGTCCTTGGCCATATTGCCTTCCTGGATGGTAAGGCATAGAGGCTTGGTTTCAGCTGGTTTTATTTGGGAATTTCCCCACTCACACATTCTGTTTTCAGATTAAAACTTCCACACTAGTGTTTGGTCCAAAACGTTATTTGATGTCTGGGGAAGCCTGCCTGGCCATGTAACTGGATATGGCCATGTCTCTGTTCCCCTGGAGAGAAGCAAGATATGCCTCCACCCTTCATGCTGTCATTACTTTTCTTGTGGTTCTGTTTTCTCATTTGATCTGATGTGAAACTACAGGAAATGGAGCAACCACTGGGTTGGTCTTTGAAGGATTTATGCCGTGAAAAGTCCCAAGGGTTTATTTTTGCTTGAAAAGGTGGAAGGGCTCAACTTGATGGAGTTAATAGCCACCCCACCAACATGGAGGGTTTCCTAGTAATTTGTTACAAAGAACAGGGACATGTGTTCCCATCCACACAAGTATAAGCCAAAGGGCTCATGTCGCTACTTAGGCAGGCCAGAGCCACCATGAAGGACGCAGGCTTGGAAGTTTGAGATGTACCAGTTACAAACAGGTAGGGCAACTGCGTTGAGCAACACTGGAGATTTAGGGCACTTTTAGCTTTGGGTCTACTTGGACCCACAGCAACATTACTGATCCATCATGTAGGAGGCACTGACCTAGTCCTCATATTCCTGTTAAGCCTTTGCTAGCACTGAGAGG